ACCGTTATTCTTTTCTTTTTTTATTGCTTAGATGGGTGGACGAGCTTATAGCCCACCTGGTGTTAAGTGGTTACTGGCCCATAGACATCTACATCGTAAATGCGCCACCCACCTTGAGATGTAAGTTCTAAGGTCTCAAGTATAGTTACAACGGCTGCCCCACCCTTCAAACCGAAACGCATTACTGCTTCACGGCAGAAATAGGCAGGATGGTAGTGCAAGGTGGTACCTACCTGTTCGGACTCACAAGAGGTCCTATCGCCAGTAAGGTCCTACCACCAGTAATATAGAGAAAATAGGCAGCTCTCCGAAAGGGGTGAAATAAATTTAGTTGAGCTCCAGTGGGATTTTACCGGTTCGATTTTACCGGTCACCACAAGGCGTTTCAAATTACTGGTGTCCCTGCGTGCAACATGACCAAAATACCGCAATATTCTATGTAGGCAGGTTATATGAAAATATATAAATAAAATAAATCATGACATAAGATTTTTATTTAATATTTCTTGAGGCTTACGGAATAATCCTTTACATTTTTTAGACAGAAGAAACTAACAATGTCTCGAGGCATATTTATTTTGTTTGATATGAGGTTTATCCTAATAATAATGATACCCTAGCTATGAGACAATTGAGATACATTGCACCATTAGCTAAAGGAAAGTATGAAATCCTCGTAAAGAGTAAATATTGTATAAAAATTATAAAAACATGCATGAATAACAAGCCGAATTAAACTTTTTTTTTATTCTTGTTTTTAGATCAGGATATTAGGCTAAAAAGTATTAAAAGTGTTTTGTTCTCATCGGACCGTTGTAACTATAATTGAGACCTTAGAACTTATATCTCAAGGTGGGTGGCGCATTTACGTTGTAGATGTCTATGGGCTCCAGTGACCACTTAACACCAGGTGGGCTGTGAGCTCGTCCACTCATCTACGCAATAAATAAATAAATAAAAAACAAAAACCTAGACACGTGACAAATATCAATGTTAAGTTTAAGACGTCTTGAAATTGGTGATTACAATGAAATAGTCTAGAGCCAAACCAATAAAAGCGTGTTGTTCATTACAAAATGTTATCCACGTACTTACGTCTAAGACAAATTCATTGACTTCACTGCTGCCCTTGTAAAAGTTGGAATGTTTGTATGTATGTATGTTACGAAATTCTGATTTCAATGAAGCAATATGAAATTTTTAATTGTCTGTACGTGTTTTTCTTACAACCAGAACCGGATGAATTATTTAATTTTGTAATAAGCGTTTTCTTTGATAGAGTAAGTAGTTGTTGTCTATACTTAATATTATAAAGAGGAAAGATTTGTTTGTTTGTTTGTTTCGAATAGGCTCCGAAACTACTGGACCGATTTGAAAAATTCTTTTTCCATTAGAAGCCGACATTGTCCCTGATGAACATAGGCTACTTTTTTTAATTTTTTTTTTTTTTTTTTGTTTCATGTGTGTTTTAATGTTTCCGAAGCGGAGCGAGGGCGGGTCGCTAGTTTATTATAATACGGCTAATTATAGTGTAGCAATTGAGATACTTGAATTTCTGTTCAAACTTTTATTAATTTATGTGATTATTAACAAACTTTTTCTTCTTTGTCGCTTCCTCATTACTGAAGGTCGTGACCACGTTGGTCAAGTTTTTGCACTAGCTTCCTTTTTTTTTTTTTAGGTTCAGACAACTGGATGAAATCTGCACACATATAGAATTCACCCTTTTGGGTGTGAACACATCTTGCTTAAGAGCGTTTGTGCTTAAGATAAAAATATCGTTAACCAATATTAAATCAAGACAAAGAAAACAAAAAACTGCATATACAAACTTACAAAAAAAAACAATAAAAATAAAAAATTAAAAGAGGGAAATTAATGTTCTATAGAAATCAAAATAAATGTGGTTGGTCTACAGCTCGGTGTGGATCACGGAACTTAACTTTATTTTAAGTGAGACTAGAGAAGTATGGCATACAAATATGTCAATTTCCTCCAATGTTGCCTGCATTCGGCCTACTTAATGGCGACCGGGACGCTGGTGTTTGTGGCCTCCTTGACTATGTCCGTCCACCTGGTTGGCAATCTTCCTCGACTTCTCTTTCCTTCCTCGTGACCTACAACTATTAATTTTTTCCAAGTTGTCAGGACTTTGTCAGGCCACGTGTCCGAAGTACTTGAGGAGACGCTGCATACAGATCGTACATAGACGGGTCTTTATTGACTTATTAACACACATGACGTTTCTAATTAAAAAAATCATACAAATAATTTATATACTCACTAGCTGACCCGGCAAACGTTGTGTTGCCTTAAATAAGATTTCTAGGGAAATTCTACTGTAGTAATAAAAACCTCATTTAACCACATAATACCTCATTATAAACAAAAAAATATATCCAAAAAATAAAAATAAAAAATAAATGTTTAGGGTGGATAACCCTTTTCACTTAGGGGTATGAAAAATAGATAGTAGCCGATTCTCAGACCTACTGAACATACTATTGATACACAAATAAAACCAACAAAATATGGCTGAAAAATGTATAGTATTGTATAGCTCTCAAATATATTAAGTGTATAATCTATGATGTATAGTGAGTAAGTAAGACAGGAGACCGGCTTCGTCCCCATCCCTACTACGTGATGTTTGCTGGATCAGAGGTGACACCTGGTGGGGATAGCTGATCGTTTGATAGTTGATCGGTAGTCGACCGGCGAGCGCGGGAGATCAAATTCAATTTAAAAAAAATCATAATTAAAGGAACTTGAAATTATAAACTCTGAATAAGAATTTATCGTACTACAATTATAATATTTGATTGCCATCTTGCAACCTTATTGCGGATGGAAAAATAGGGGTTGATCGTATAAGAGTGAAAATTGAGAGTAATATGATTTTTTTTTTTTTAAGTCATGATAAAACTAAATAAAAAACTTGCCAAAATTAAAGTTTATAATTAACAAATGAAAAATAGAGGTTGATCGTAGAGGGGTGAAAATTTCAGAGTAATATGATTTTTTTTATTCTACGTCATGACAAAATAAAAACAAAATTCTCGCAAAAAAATTTAAAGTTTTTAATTAGCAAATAAAAATAAGGGTTGATCGTAGAAGGGTGAAAATTGAGGATTGTATGTATTTTTGTATGTTGTATCATAAAAAAATAGAAATTAAAAATTTTGTCTAAAAAATAAATAAAAAATTTAGGGGTGGACTACCCCTAACATTTAGGGGGATGAAAAATAGATGTTGGCCGATTCTCATAGATACCGGATTAGCACAAAAAAATTCATAAAAATCGGTCAAGCCGTTTCGGAGGAGTATGGCAACGAAAACTGTGACACGAGAATTTTATATATTAGATTTGCTATGGGAACTGTAGCTTTAGAAAAAAATTAACGTTTATGATTATTCAATATTGTGTTAAACTTTAGTATAAAACAATTATGATTGAATATCATTACGGATAATTTTTTTATTTTTTCACGAACTACATTTAAAATTACAAATTCAGTATATTATATCCTTGGTTACAGTTAAGCAACAATAGTCCGTCCCACACATAAAATAATTTTGGCTTTCAATGTTTGAATAAAGAAACTATTTCTGATCCATACGTCATCGTTGCTAAAATACCGTATTTTATTAAAGTTTATATGAGAAGAGTAAAAGAAAAAAAAACGTGTGGCACTCGGGAACTGCCGCGGTAAAGCTATGGCATAGCATTTTTTATCAACTTATGCAATTATAATTAAACAATGATAATTTAATATTAAAACAATAATAAAACAAGACCACGCTATATTAAACATTAATAAAAGCAAAACATTAACTGTCCCCTTCACACTCATAAGCTAGACCGCGCGAGAGAGAGGTGGGCAGACTTTTCATGATGCGCGTGCAGTGACGTCACGCCACGCGCTTATTCACAAACACTACACAAGCGCAACGTGTGAATGTGTTGAACGCGAGCTACATGGTAGGCGGAGTGAGCGGTGTTAGGTTTTTTTCGTTACGGAATTTCATGATTCGGTCGCTGCGCTCAAGGCCCGCGATAAAATCTATGCAATAGCTTAAAAACAATTAATTGTTACTGTAGAATTGCGGAAATTTATCACTGACCACTCGCGGAACACGAGTGATCTTGTCGAGTTACGAAATGAACCCAAAAAGCCTTATACCGTTACTAAAACAAAAACTAAAGCCTTTAAATAATGCACATCGCAAACGTATGTAGATACGCATTCGACATACGACACGGACACAATGTGTGTCAATATGAGTAAGTTGGTCAGTATATCACGTCGACCGTGAATATCGAATGGACATGTGATCCGTTAGTCATCAAGTATCATCGACAAGTTATCGTAACGCGAGCTGCTAAGAGTTTGGACTATTCTTAAGAGAACGTTTCTTTATATGCTACTATATTGGTCCGTCTATAAGTATATGCGATTAGTAAAAGGACATTGCCCATTTTTAGATGTATTTTTAGAAGCTTGGATTAAAATTTTGACTATACATATAAATAAAATTTGAGTGTCTGTTTGTAATATTGAAATAACTGCTTTTTACTACATGCATATGAATATACGGTACATACACCAAAATAACATTTTTGACAATTTTTGTCTGTCTGTCTGTCGGTCTGTCTGTTCCGGATAATCTCTAGAACGGCTGGACCGATTTTGACGAGACTTTCACTTATAGGTAGCTGATTATATAAGGAGTAACTTTTTTATACTAGCTTCGCCCCGCGGCGTCACCCGCCGTACGACAATAACCATGGGTAGTATCGCGGGACTCCACTACATACACTATATTTAAATCCGTCACACTACGTATTTTTGCACAAATTTAACCTTTTAAAATATAAAGTATCAAATTTGTCCGGATTGTAGATTTCGTCTCATTTTATTTGTCACGTCATATTGCGTCATGAAGTCGTGCCGTTATGCATAATATTAAGATGTTCAACAACTTTTCTCCTCGTTCAGTACAAAATTTGCAGTTATATAAAGTAAATCATATAAAGCGACAGAGTACTTTCAATATTTGTTGAAAGTTCAGTGACTATAATTGTGAAAGTAAGAAAAGATTTTATTCCTTATAAACCCTACAGTTCATGGTGCAATCAACAAGTGTCAGTGGTTCAGTGTTAATTTGGAGACCATTATTTTAATAAACCAGTTCAGGAAATTTGACGAATATATTAAACGTAATGGAATGAACAAGAAGAGAAGTAGAACTTCTGATATTCTTTGGTGAAAGGCCCATTTTCCAAAGTGGCGAAGTCCGAGTCTCGTGTACAGTTAGTGGCCGAAGGGGAAGGTGATGGGTGCTGTTCCTGCGCTGGTATGAGGATCGGTGACCTCGGAGGTGTGCTGCTCGAAGCCGCCAAGCTAACCAGATCTTGGTTTTGCCAAAAACCTGGCTACGGGTGAGTTGGTCCATTGTGCCCTAAGATTTCGGTGTGTTTCAATATTTACGAACTTATCTCAGTTTAAATGATAATCATGTGGGCTAAAGTACACATATATAAAAAATTATAAATACATTAAGCTATTGATATGTGATAAGATCCATTTTGTGGTAATTATCACAAATAAAAAAAAAACCTAATTTAGAATTAAAAAAAGTTGATTGTTAGTCTAAGCGGAAATATGGTTCTGGTGATACTTATGAACTTTGGTAAAATCTAGCGAAGCCATCAAACTTTAAAACTCATTTAGCGATAAAGGAAAAGGCTGCGGAATCCAAACTTCGTCGACACGAAGAATGTTATTAGAATTGTGCTCGCTATCTCTTCAGTTTATTAAAGATTTCTCAGCTGGAAACTTAGTAAGAGCTGACTCTGTAACGAGATTGCAACATCTCTGTACAAATATGTCTTTGAACGCAAGTTCCGAAGTCGTTATAACTCGTTATTTAAGATTTTGAACTGTTATCTTAATGAATTGTCGGTAGTTGAATTTTTCTCGTACGGGAGTCTTAGCTATCTTAGCAGCAAAGTCAGCGACGTATGCGAATATGGTTTTTTTTAAGTTTTGTCAAGTTTCGGTAGGCAGCGGCTTGGCTCTGCCCCTGGCGTTGCTGAAGTCCATGGGCGACGGTAACCACTCACGATCAGGTGGGCCGTATGCTGCTGGTCTGCCTACAAGGGCAATAAAAAAAAGTTTTTTGTTTGTTTTTTCAGACGTAGATCGATAATTGTAGCCTAACACACAATTTTTCATAATCATGCTTATAATTATGTATATCTCAATTTATTTAAAATATAATAAATTTTGATGCAAAATCGGCTTATCCATAGTTTCACCTATAGATAGCAGATGGCTTTGTAAACATCATTTTTGCGCGTATTCTTTTTTTGCCTCTCTTCTATATCGTTCCCTCACTACTGAGGATCGCGACCACATGCGATGTACTTCCAATGCGCCCGATCATGGGTGGCATGGACTGCATGGTACAGACTACCACCGAGTGCTTCTCTTGCTAGATCTGACTACTATTGCCTACTCAAATTCATATTCATGAAAACTTAAACCTCATTGCTCCATAATAAGTATGGTGAGCTTAGGCCCCTTTTGCGGTGACGGCCTCAATTGTACTATATAAGAGTCGACTATTATCAAAGCCGGCAGTCTGACTTTTGGACAATTATTGGTAAATCAGAAAAACGAATTATTTACTTTGTATTCCATTGGCAGTCACAAAACTCTTCGGAACGACATCTTAGATAAATAGCAGGTTAACTATTAACCTTTATTTAATGCAGGTTTTGAACCGTATTCTTTGAAGGAGACGATTATGTTCAAATCAATCTGTACTGACATATCAATAACATTTTTTTGTCCAAATGCACAGATTGCCACCTTTGATAATAGACGACTCATAAGACGTATTGAGAGAGACTAGGTTAAATTTTTATTTACATTCAGAGTATACCCATAACTCAGCGGTAGTATCGACAGATTATGCTATGATGATTATATCACAGTATTACCAAATACCATAGTATAAATTTTACACTTTTTTCCTGCACAAGTAAAAACTTAATTTCTCGTACAAATTGAACTAAATTGAGTATCGTCTAAAGAATACGAAAAACCCGTTTCAAGTGATAAACAATTTCCAGTTTCGTATTATCAAACGAATTAGTCTTTCATTGTTGTTAAAATAAATTAATTAAAATATTAAATGAGTCATAGTGACAAAATTTAGTCAGTACATAGTTTTAGTTTTGACAGAATTTAGTGAGTATTATGTCAAAATAAAATACGATTTTTGTTTTATATTATACTTTACTTATATACTTTTTACTGGTGGTAGGACCTCTTGTGAGTCCGCACGGGAAGGTAACCACCACCCTGCCTATTTCTGCGGTGAAGCAGTAATGCGTTTCGGTTTGAAGGGTGGGGCAGCCGTTGTATCTATAATGGTGTAGATGTCTATGGGCTCCAGGAACTACTTAAAACCAGGTGGGCTGTGAACTCGTCCATCCATCTACGCAATAAAAACAATGTTTTTTTAAAGCAATTTCTTAGATTACATAGTTAAATTCCAAAAGTCATTGTTTTGAAATTTCAGTATGTAAGCGGATTATCAAATGACACTGATGTAGACCGACAAAAGAAATAACAACCCAACTTATTGTGCCTTCCTTGAATATGAACTCAAGAATGATGAATTCACGAGAAAAAAGGGCGGGTGTTGGTCCTATACTAGTGCCGACTATACTTGATACTTTACGATGATTTAGATAACGTTTTAAGCGTCGTAATGATATACTGATTAGATGGTGGACAATCTAAAAGACAGTGAACCTGAATTTAATAATCAGCAGATAGTTTTAATTGTAACGTATCACCATGATAATATTTAAAATGCCAAACGGCGTTTGTCGGTGTTTCCTTCTATCATGCGGTAACGGATCTACCTGGTTTTTTGAATAGACACAGTTCATAAGCGAGAAAATCTGCGCCAATTTGAGAAGGCGGCACGACATGAGAACCCTCTTGTCGTGACCGCTGGAAATTACATACCCGACCCTGTAGACCGAATGGTAAATAGTCGACGTCGCCCAAAACACGTCATCACGGATCCTCCCGATCCATTAACGACGCTTTTAGGTACCACAAGCACCGGTCACCGTCCTCGTCGAACCCGTCGCTTGCGACGAAGGGCGCGACTAGCGAATTAACCCACAAACACAGCCCACTGAGTTTCTCGCCGGATCATCTCTGTGAATCGCGTTTCCGATCCGGTGGTAGATTCTGCGAAGCACTGCTCTTGCTAGGGCCAGTGTTAGCAACACTCCGGTTTGAGCCCCGTGAACTCACCTACACGTTAGGGCGAAGCTGAAATAGCCTCCCTATCAGCATAGGTAGGATTTAAAAGAAAAAAAGAGAAAATGGCTTATGTTACTTTATTATGCATTGTAATAGGGCTCGGCATATAAATGGGTTTTAATTAAAAATCAAAGTAAAATTCTTTTAGAATCCACTGACATGTGTGATAAATAATTTTATTACTAGTTCTTTCAAAATGAAGTGATTTCGAAATGCTTGGTACGAATTCAATATTCTTGATTCTGTTTGACATCTGACAACTCCAATGTTTAGCTCGGACATTAATTAATTGATATTCCAAGTTTTTGTGTATCGGGATAGTTGATAAGTTTATTAATATTCGGTTCCCTTGTTAGGTTAGATCGAGGTGAAGTTTAGAAACTTTAAGTAATGTCGACCATTTTCGAGATATCTCATTCTTTTGTATATTAATATCTTGGAGCAGCTTTATTGAATCCAGGAACGTTGGTCCGACCAACATGGAATTGGAACATTTGAATTATTATTTACATTTTTTTTTTATCGGTAGTCGTCTTGATAACACTGTTCTGCCCGATTCTACCGCGAAGCATTAATGCGTTCAGGATTGTAAATTTTATTCAATTATTTATTTGGGAAGCCAACAGTACAATATAAACATAATTTGATATTTTAAAACATAGCTAAAACAATAACAAAACATGTTTCCACCATCAAAATCAGAAAGTGAAAAGACAAAATAAATTTAGAAATTTAAGTTTACACAAAAAACAAGAGCAACAAATACGCACATATTATTATGTACATCAACTTACGCTATAAAACTAAGTAATAGGTACTCATCGGACTAAATCACGTTCCAAATATTCCAAAATAGCTTTTCTATATGCTACAAGTGACAAGTATAAGATGTCAGCATTAGAGAACGTTTGAGGCTCAGCCATCATGTGGGTGGCTGCATTCATATGGTGATGTTTGTACTTTCCGATAACAGCCTAACACTAGGCAAACCATGAACTGAAAAGTTTATGCAAAAAAAAAGCTTTCATGTTAATTCACTTCGAGCAATGAACCGAGCAGTGAACTCGAGAGCTTATATAGATCCGCTCTGGGTCGGGGATACTGTAGTATGTCAATTCCTGGACACGTGCCAATGCGTGTTGTCGACGTGGCGGAATTCGTTATCGTTATTCATTCACTAGGAGCCGTGGTTCTTTTTTTTTTAATTACTGTACCGGGATACAGGGTTCGGCTTAAGCGATCACGAATATTTATCTATTGCAACTTGAATATAGATATAGTGAGTAAAGATTTTCCTTCGTATTTTTTCGGAAAAGTTCGTATATATCGTGCTCTCTCAAATAGCTTCAGTATCCATCTTGTTTTACTTACGAATGCTGTGAAAGGGGTTATTTGAAGTCGTCGTGGCCTAAAGGATAAGACGTCCGGTGCATTCGTATGTAGCGATGCAACGGCGTTCGAATCCCGCAGGCGGGTACCAATTTTTCTAATGAAATACGTACTTAACAAATGTTCACGATTAACTTCCACGGTGAAGAAATAACATCGTGTGATAAAAATCAAAACCGCAAAATTATAATTTGCGTAATCACTGGTGATAGGACCTTTTGTGAGTCCGCGCGGGAAGGTACCACCACCCCGCCTATTTCTGCCGTGAAGCAGTAATGCGTTTCAGTTTGAAGGGTGGGATAGCCGTTGTAACTATACTGAGACCTTAGAACTTATATCTCAAGGTGGGTGGCGCATTTACATTGTAGATGTCTATGGGCTCCAGTAACCACTTAACACCAGGTGGGCTGTGAGCTCGTCTAATAAAAATCTAAGCAATAAAAAAAAATACATATATTTACTAATTCGCAGTAAGATCTATGCAAACATGGCTTACCAAAGTGAACTAAAACTTCAAACAAATGATAAGACATAGTAAGATTGTAATTTAGGCTTACAGATTAACGTGAGGATTGTATATAGTTTAAAGGTTGACAATAGTGACATAGGTTAGATTACAGTTCACACAGACACACACTCAGACACGTGATTTGGCTTAATGTACAAAGACACGTTTGCCTTCAAGGTCTGCGGACTATAA